TCGGGACCGAAACTTCCGTATCGTCCTCGAAGAACCTGGCTAAGAAAAGCCTTTCCCGTATCGTCCTCGAAGAACCTGGCTAAGAAAAGCCTTTCCAAATCTACCCATTTCTGAATAGATCCAGTAGGCAATTTCATGAACCACTCGAAAACCACTCCTTTAAGAGTGCCGATGAACAAGCGGGTCAGGATGGCGTCGTTCGTTACTACATCTCCAGTCTGTGACTTGAAGTAGTAAATATGCTGATTTGGCGATCCTGTGCCATCGAACGGTTGCAAGGTAGGGGCCTTAAATTTCGATGGGTAGGGAGCTGTGTCCCACTCAGCGGGATAAGACCGTACCACTCCTTCTTCACGGAGCTCGCTTCTATTGGCGATTGCGTTGAGGCAAGCTTCTAGTTCATCCATTTTAGAGGACTGAGGGTGCAGTTCTCTTTCTATCTCCTTCTCGTTTTCAGAAGAAGATTCTATGTTTTGAGCTTCGCGATCCGAATGCTCATGTGCTTTTTGTTTTCCTTTAGAGGTTGTCCTCCGAGAGGATTCAGGTTTTTGGCCTTTTTCAGCCAAGAGCTGGGCCAACATATCCTTCATTTGGAGAAGTGTCTCCTGTTGTGCCTGGAGTATGACGTGATGTTCGTCAACACTCTTAGCTAGGTCTTCGGGGTTTCCCGTCATGTAAGCAGAAACCTCTTGTGCTCCGACAAAGCTTGAAGATTGAGATTCGGCTATCGCCGAATATCCATCACCCGATGTAATCCCCTTGGCTAACTTTGGATAGTCAACCGAATGGATAGCTCATGTCTGAGTCCGAGTGTGTCGGCATACTCCCTCGAACTCGTCATGAATTTTCCGAACAGTCGGGGAATGACTTCTTTGCGACTCATCAGAACTAGGATGTGAGGTTTTCCCTCTGTCGATCACGTTGATAGTGACCTAAGGGTATTCAACTTCAGAAACCTTCTTCTTCTGATGATGTCGTCGCTTGGTAGGTCTTGCGACGTTAGCCAGTCTGTCGAACACAGACTTGCGAGGCTCAGGTGTACAACAGTGGCATTCTGAAAGGATTGCTGATATAAGTCGCTCACACTGGCATGAATGAGCTGCTTGCTGATTTGGTCTTTCTCTTGATAACAATTCCCGCAAGTCAGACACTTGAGAGAGATCTCTTTCTGAGTGTGAGGAAGAAGATGGCACCCCCTGTTCTTGAAGAGAAACGCGAGGCTCGCATTTGGATTTGTAAACATTAGGCCGAGGCATACATTTAAATGAGGAAACAGACCCCTGAGGGTCATGTTTTGGTTGAACGCGCCTCTGAGGGTCGCGTTTAGTATTTGAAACAGACTTTCGAGGATCATGTTTCGTTTGAACGCACACGTGAGGTGTGCGTTTATCTTCGGCAGCGCTTTTCTGAGGGCTGCGTTTTGAAGGAATAACGCGCCACTGAGGGTCGCGTTTCAGCTGTATTAGTCGAGGCTCGTAGTTAGGCTCATTGCCGCGAAGCGTGCGTTCCGTGGTGGAAACGCTAAGCTCGGGCAAAGCTTCTAAAATACGATCCTCGCGTTGGGCAAGAATCCGACTTTCTCGAATATGTGCCCATCGTATAGATCTTCTCCGTCTTTGAGCGGGGTTCTTTTTGGCTTGTTTCAAAGCCCTGGCAACAGCGTCGTTGGCGTTTATGGAGCTTGTCTCCTCTATAGGCCGTTTATGGCCTGTGGCATGTCTTGCTGGCGCGGACGTGGGACGTTCAACTCGCTGGACGAGTTCGGAAGAGGTTAAGCCCGCTCCTGAGGCAGAGGGGTTGTTGGATGAATCTTGGCCAAAGAAGAGGGCTTTCTTTGGTATTTCAGCAATAGTTTTGATCTCTTTGGAGATCTTACGGATGTCGTGCCTAGCCTTGGGTCTAAGCGATCCAGAGGAGAGGGCTTCCTCATATTTGGCCTGATCAAACTCTACGACAAGAGTTTCAACAGTTGTTCCAATGAGGTGTACGTCGGATTGCGCCACCACTTCTTCGTCAGAAAAGCTAGTCCCCAACGGAGTCGCCATCTTTTGTTTGTGAAAATTTTTTTAATAAAAGGATTGAAAGAAAATTGACTTGTATTTCTTCGATCTTAATTACAATTCGAATACAAAAGAGAGGAGAATTAATTTGATTCTCCCCTTTGTTTAAAACTGGGTTCTTCTTAGTAGCGATGGAGTGCCTCCTTCGAATGTTTGCGTCGAACTTGCTCTCCGTTGACGATCCGATCGTTTTGTGTCTCGTGGGAACAAAGAACTTCTATGGTAAGTTTGAGGAATAACTCTTAACGAGTTTTTTTAGAACTCAGAACGAGCTAGAACTCTGTGAGAAGAGTTGTTAGAACCGAATAATCGGTTAATAAGCCAAATATATCGATTTGTTGCTGAAGAGTCTGATCTCTTTAACTGCCCAGAACTCTACTGATTTCGGAGATGATTTGATCTCTTGAAATCTAGTCGAACTCCCCCTCGATCTCAACTCCGTGCGGTTTTTATCTCCAAAATCTTCAACCAATCAGCCAACCAGTCAACCCCTTTACTCGGTTGAGTAAGGCGGTTATTTATAGGAGGATAAGGGGTGTAGCTAACCCCTAAATCAGCTCCTGAGTGGGCGTGATTTCCTCAGATCGTGGGAAAACAGTTCTAAAACTGTTCGACTCATGTTTGATTGAGTCAAACGCTCAATCTGGCGTTCAGGACCCTAACTCCGCATCTTAGAATTGAGACGCGGAGTTGGGTGTTGTCTGAACATCAAAAACGCAAGGGCCGCTCGTGTTTTGCTTGTTACGGCTTGGAAACGCGGGGTTCGCCTGCATTTCAAGAATTGTAACGTGAAGATGAATTCCGCGTTTTAGAAGGGGCTAGTTGATTTGTAACATCTTCTGTAGAGCGTTGCAAGGACCATTGTTCAGTAATCCTCGCTTTAGCTGTTGTGGGGTGTGAAAGTCGTCAGATTGTAACTCTCACTGTTGATTGTGAAGACTACTGAATAGAGTTTTCATCAGTTATCGGAAGTATCGTTGAATTGTAACTCTTCTCGATCTATGTGAAAAGTCCTCCATTTGCAGCTTTCTTTTGTTGGCATGAGAGTCATCTGATTATAACTTTGAAACTTGATGGGGATCATCTATCCATCGTGATTTTTAGACAGCCTACAATTGTTTGTTTGCAATGGATATTAAAGAGAATTTGCATGGGCAATAAAATACAACTAATTTTTGTTTGGTTGCATGCGAATTTTGTTGAGAATATGTGACTAAAATCACAAATCCTAGTGAAATCAGCATAAATTTAGGGGTTGTTTGGTTTATGGATTAATTTTGATGTACGTCACGGATCTGAAAAAATCCACATTCATAATCTTGTTTGTTTACATACATACTGAAGAGGATTTGATGAATGTTGAACATGAATTTCTAGGATAATATGGTATAATATCCCTCCTTTTTCCTTCTTAGATAAGCCTCGGTTTAAAATCAGAGTTAAATCAGCATATTTTTAAGGAACTGATTGATGCGCTAATCCTACATGGCAACTCTAATTTTACAACAACAAAAAAATGCTAACCAAATAATATATTTAGTAAAAATTCAAGATTTTTGTCTCATATGCCCTTTTTTCAATGCGAAGTTGCAAAATGCAAGGAGACAAATAACCCCTTAGGGAATCTAGTGTGATGCATTTATTCTACGTGTCAACCTCAAACTGTGGCATGAAAAGCACCAAACAAATAATGTATATTATGAAAAAAAATCTAGGAATTTAAACTCGTTGATCCCATTTTTCAGTGCAAAACTCACCAAATATATGAAAACAAACAGCCCCTAAATGTATGTAAGTATAAAGCAGATATAATCTGAAAATGTTCATTTGATTTCACATGAAGGTTACTCGCACTCCTCACTATATCCATACACACACACACATATGGATGCTGCGTATAATCTAGCAGCTCATTTTGTAAAATGAGCTCCCATCTAACTCTCATGCGCGTCCAATCCCGATGTGAATAGTAGGAGGGTTCACATGGTATTGAGTTGGCAACCTAATTTGCAAAATGGGCTGTCAGCTCATATACATTTTTTCTCACACACACATACACATATGTATATATGTATACACACGGGGATAATTCCAAAGCCAATCAAAAAATGTAGATTTCAGTCGAATGCAAATGCAAAGAGAAGAAGAACAGTATCGATATTTTTATATAGCAACCTTTATTATCTCTTGCTCTTTGCATATCGTTTTTCGTATTTTTAGCCTCATTTGTGACCTTTCATCTATGGCTTACGAATTTAGATTAGAATTCTTTCTGGAAGCAAACTCCTTTTCTTTCCTAGGTAATGAAAATAAATCTTCCACATTCCAACTTCACTGGAAAACGAAATTAAACACCCCAAGGGGTTGTTTGGGTCGCGGATCGCATTTTAATGCATACTATGGATCTGCAAAAAATTCATACTCAAAATCTTGTTTGTTGACAAATGACAATGGGTATTAAAAGTGTATTTTGCATGAGAGATAAAATCCAATAGAATTTTATTTAGTTACAACTACATTCGGTTAAGGATATAAGACTAAAATCACAAATTCAAGTGAAATCAACATAATTTTATAGCAAATTACATTTGGCGTATCTGTCATATATGACAACTCTAAATTTAGGACATGAAAATCAACAAACAAACAATGTATTTAATAAAAGTCATGAACTTTTTATTTGCGGATCCCATTTTTCAATACAAGACCCAGCAAATGCATGGAAACAAATAGCACCAAAGTGACTAAATCTGCTTCATTTCCCATTTATAAAAATGAAAATAAAGCACACTGCTCTTCGTAAACGACATTCGACATCAAAGCTTACCTACTTCAAACCGTGGCCATAAACAGGTACAATTCAATACCATTTTGTATTAACTTGAAGTTTACCTCAGAATACACAACAGCGTTGCATACAAATTTACAAAAATCCACGAATGCAGTGGACAAATGACCCGTTCTTATTAACCATAAATAATCGGCCATTACTCTCCCAGTGATTATGGATTAAATAGAGCTCTACAAATATAACAGACCATAATGATTTTTACCAAAGAATAACTAAGGCTACAGCTACAAGAGCAAAGAAGACAGTAGCTAGGCTGCTATCTCATGTACAATAAGAACAACCTAATTCTGACATAAAAATACATGCAGAAAACAGGAAAGAACACAGCTAAAAAAAATGTTGCAAGGGAGCAATTTGCAATGGGAATTAAATAGGTACATAGAGCTATATCTCCCACAAACTATACCACGATGACTGTCAATGAAATTACAAGCCTAACACAACCCAGATAATTCTTCAATTTGGGTAAACAATAAGAGAATCGATCAGCTGCTCTTTCCTGAAGATTTCCCCCCAGATGATGGTGGCAAAGTTCCAAAAACACTGTCCCACACTGAAGAAGTAATTCCGAAGCCCATGGTTTGAATTTTATAGTGATGGTTCATATGATAGCGCTGTAGACAAGTAAGACAGTATCATTAGCATGAAATTGAGATTTCTCAAAATGTCATTAAGATTCAACTTTTTCTTTTAAAAAAAAATTCCCACCTTGAGACTTTTTGCTGGATCTTTGGATGGTTGTCCATGGTGTAGGTAATAATGAGTGCAATCATACACAACATAACCAAACAAGCCACCTCCAAATAATGCAGGGGTAGTAGAATCAGTTGCCAGGAGCTTAATCAGGTTATAGAACTAGGAGGAGGTTCACAAAAGTTAGCAAAGGCAAGATCAATAGCTTTCAGTAACATGCTAGAGTTCTTTCTAAAAGAGTAATAATATTGTATATAATTACCAACACGCACATTATATAGCTATAACTGCAGAGTCAGACTCAATCAGATTAGAATAGTTATACGCTACTATGAGTCCTTGAGATATTCAGACATAATTGTATGCATATGCCTTTCTTTAAGTATATACCAACTGAAGCGAGTATTCTGAAATCACGTGTGTGCATATATTATTATATTATGTATGTGTGTGTGTGTGTATTCTTTGAAGTAGATACTAACTGAAGCAAGTAATCTGAAATTACATGTGTGCATACATACATAGATGCATGCACACAGAAGGATTTGCACAAATATGATTTCTTTAATCAGTTTCGGCTACTTCCATGGGATAGAGTAACTGTGACCTTACAGAACTGATAGCTAACTCAGACCAACTCGCTAATAGGAATGAGCCGAAGCGACTTTGTGCAATTGGTGAGGTGAAATATTTCATTCTTGATGATAGGTAAGGGGGTCCGAAGGATGAAGACTTGACACATGCACACATTATGTCAGGAAAAATACAGCATTCTTCGCTATGTAAGCGGGTTCAAAGGATGTAGATTTGATACACACATATATCATAAACCTAGTACCTATATAGCTTTCCACCTAATGCAGCAACATACTAACTAATGACATTTCTCTTTAATGTTCACTTCACAAGTATGACAAATTAATTCAAGAATGTGAAGTCCAGTTTTTCAGAGCTTAAGAAGGATTAAGGAAGAACTAATGTACCGGCACACAAAGAATAGCTGCTGCAGCAGGGGGAAAAACGAGGCGTAGACCATCCATAGGATGCTTGTGATGACACCCATGGATAAGATAATGTGCTGTATTTGCCCTGCAGTACAGATTTTTATTCATTATAACATATCAATAAATAAGATTCATCAAAAATTAAATAATTCAGTAAGTTACCAGTAAGTTTTTGTTTTAATGTGGAAAAGAAACCGGTGCAAACTATACTCGATCAATGTCCAACAAATTATTCCGATCCCTATCATTGTAGCTAGTTGAGGTAATGTAAGCCCTCTTTGTATGGACAAGGCCACAAAATAGAACACAACTGGCAGCCAAATGGTTGGTACAGCCCACCATACAGTCCGAGTTAAGAACTGATAGTTTGAAATGCAAGCTTGTCAGAAACAACTAATGATGAAACACATCATCTTACATGGCATGAAAATTACCTCCATGATGTCATTTTCAAAAAAACGTGGGCCTTCCTTGCTACTAATAGGTTTGTGGACCCATTGTTCATAAGCTTCTCCGAGATGGCCCACCTGAAAAGGTTCCCATGATCATAATCGAGATCCAAAAACCTAATAAGATGTTGGTTAAAGCAAACAATTTATTGTCATATGTCATAGTAGCGCTTATTAATAAATAATGGCAAAAGCTAAAGTTTGACATTCAAAACCATGAATAGTTAATATATGCTACACTGGCTTGAAAATTTGACATGCTAGCAAATAATGCAACTTAATGCATACATGAACAGAAAAAGTTCCTACTTTCTACGGGTTAAATTGAAGCATGACAGCACAACTACCCATTTTGGTCGGACAAATATTAACGTCCGCACAGTGCAGATGAGATATCAGATCAACTTAAATGACACAATGGAAGCTTCTGTTCCAGATTCACTTTCTGATGTAATTAATTTAACAATACATTCAACAACAAATTGAAGTGACTAAACTAATCAGCATCACAAAACACCAGAAGAAGGTTCTCAAATATTTACCTGAAAAACAAGAGGCTTATTCAAGTCCACGGTAAATTCTTGTGCAACCATCTTGGCACCTTTTATTAAACTGGAAGGTTACATTGAGAGACATTTTCATGTTAGAGAAACTTATATAGAAAAGGTAAAGAACTCAGATTAAAATATAAAAATAGAGAATTCTGGTAATTAAAATAAAAAGGAAACAGCTTAAGCAGCAATACAGATGAGTCAATACACATTATGTTTTCTTATACAACCTTCACGTTTGCATATGAAGAACAGGGAACACAAAAAAACCATCCATAGTTCACAAGAAAAGGCAAATACACTGTCTACAATTTCAGTGGAAATGATGATGATGCTTTTATCTAAACTTTTTTGGTCAACTAAATTCCATTCATCTCAGCCAAGGCCATGTCCTTGACTAATTTTGAAATTATTATTCTTTGTCTGCACAGAGCGGTAGTCCTTGTCACTCTATCAACTATGGCCCTATTCAATCATCCTAACTGATTCAATCATCAATCTCTGTTGCTCATGCATCATAGACAATCCCAAACTATGCTATCATTTCATTTTATTCTCAATGGATGCTTATCTCTAACTTCTTATGAGTAGCAATTTTCAACATATTTTAGCATAATCATTCATCTCAATCTTCTCATTTCAACTACAGTCATCTTCTAAACTTATGATTTCTTAATTGCTCAACCTTCTTCCATAAAACATCGCTTGCCTCTCGTAATATATTTCAAATTTTCAGATCATCAAAAGGCTTGTTTGGTTAGCACGAAATAGAGCTGTAACAACAAATGATGCTGTCAAATTTCTATTTCAATGCTTAGTTAGCAATATTGGATGTACATTTTCGAGGGGGAAAAAACCATTGCAAATCCTTTTATTAATTAAAAAGCTTTAAAATTCATGAGATCAAGTTAACTGATTTCAAATCCCAATGGGTAGATCATTTTACAATTGCAGATAAAGAAAAACTAAATTTGCAATCACAAAAGCTTGATTTGTAATGAAAAAATGTTTCATGCAGCAAAAAAATGCAAAGCTAACGGCTTTCGCAACTTATCAAACATTAGATTTGGATATGAAGATACATTTCCCATGATAAACTACATATATCTGAAAAATGGATTTGAGATTAACTTCAAAAAACAATGTTCATGTAACATTTCTGCATGTAGCATTTGAGGTATTTACGTTGCAGTATACCACTTAAGCATAAGAATATGAAAGAAATGTTAAAGAGTCATTTTATTTAAAAATGTTCTTTCAGTTAAAGGGGAAAAAAAGATATCTAGAATCATAGGAAAAAGACCCATACCCAATGCAGGCTGGTTTTGAATTAGCTTAATCCCAGTAAGCAATGCAATACTGGCCTCACCACTTACATTGTAAGCAGCGTTGTAAATAGCGGGCAATTGCGGCCCTTGCCCGAGATGATTTTGGCCATAGCCGTGAGAAAAAGCGCCGAAGTTCACTATTCATTCTAAATAGCCAACTAAAGCGTGAAATAGCGCTCAAAAGCGGTTAATAGCACTTAAAAGCAATTTTGATCACTTTTGAGCGCTATTAGCGCTTTTCTTTTGGTTGATTTTCGTAAACAACCTGACCCGAATTAAACCCCAACCCAACCCAACCTACAAAACCCTCTCCCTCCCTCCCTCCCTCCCTCCCTCTCTCTTCTGTATTCAACTGTCTCCGCCTCTTTCTCAAAAAACCCTAACCATACTTCCGCCTCTCTTTCTCTTCCGTGTTCGACGAGCTCCAGCTCCTCTCCACAACCACTCCTCGACCACTCCTCCGCCTCCTCTCTAAATCCTCCAACTCCTTGACTAGCTATATCTCCTCTCCTCGAGGCTGCAGCAAACATCTGCCTCCCTCCACCACTCCTCTGCCTCCTCTCCAGATACTCCAACTCGTCGACGAGCTCTATCTCCATCTCCTCTCCTCTCCAGATCCTCCTACTGCCTCTGCTGCATCTCCTCGACGAAGCCCTCGGCGAAGCCCTCTTCTGAGTTTGGCTGCCTCCTGCCCTCAACTTTTTTATTATTTATAGTACTTTGTTAATATTATGCAATTGTTAAATTCCTATTTCATACTTAGGATCTATATAAAAATCATCAAATATGCATTTCTAGAATTTTTTAGATTTCTGTAATTTTTAATTTTTTAGAATATTTAAATATATCTAAATTGGACCGCTATTTGACTATGCACTATTTGCCACTATTTTCCCGCTATGGGCACAAATAAACTTAGCGGTGTCTCGACCGTAACCTTGGTTGTAAGATTGCAAATAAGAAGCACGGGACTGTCTCTGATGTCATTTGATAGAGATCTGGGCGGAACTTTTTCTTAAAATATGGGTCTAAATAAATGAACCCTAGCGAAAAAGACACGTTATCGAACCAAATCTTGCTCTGAACAGTTCGATGGTCACCAGAAGATCCAAACTTTAACTTAAATCTAAAGAAAAACGACAATGTAGCCACTCAAAACCCCAACTACAACCAAAAACCCCACATCAGATTCAGAAACAGCAGCAAAACCCTAGATCTAAAACTTAAAAGCATTTGATGAGAGAGAAGATCGCGAACCTAAGGAATGACTTTGAGACGCGCGCGCGCGCGTTAAAACCCTAGAAATCGCGTTCAAGCGCTTGGTCTTCGCTCTTCTACGGTCAGCAGAAGACTGAAGAGATCTCTCTCTTTCGTCTCGTTCTCTCGGTTTCTTCTGTTTTGATTTCGCGACTGCGCTTATTATCTGTTTGTTTCCGTCAATTTCTCCGGCTTTAATCGAGCGCAGCATTAGAATCGACGCCGTCAATCGAAACAGAATATTCGGAGTGCCAGCTCACACGCCGTCGGTGGATCCAGCTAGGATTTATTTTTATTTTTTATATTTTAAATTTTTATTTTCAGTTAACTCCTTCTGGTTAAAATCATTTGGCTGGTACGCTAGCTATTTTCTAGCAAACTAAAATTATTTTGGAAAAAATATGACAATGACTAAAAAAAAAGAACTTCGTGTGCCCCTCACCCTGTATTAATTCTCTTATGTATAACTGTATAAGCCCCAGAATACTAAGAGTTTTTGTGATTCAGCTCTTTTTGACACTGTCCCAAAAAGTAACCCAAAAAAAATTCAAAACTATCTCTCATGTATTTCTTCTTCTTCTCTCTGTCTTTCTCTTTTTCTCATGCTCCTCTCCTCTTCTTCCCTAACTCTACCTTTACCCTCCGACCCTGATGTTTTCCTCACCCGCCTCCTCCTCCGTCACCACCAAGCGTACCCTCCAACCCCCTCGTCTTAGGCAATTGTTGAGAAAGCTTAAAGAAGAAGGAGAGGTGGTCGGTGAGATGGATGGAGAGGAGCATGGAAAAATGAGTAGGAGAGAAGAAAGGAGAAGGCGAGCTCATCGAGCCAGTGAGGTCCATGGTGATGGAAAGTAAAGGGAGATTTGGAGGGGATATGGATAAATTTGGTGACAAAGGTGGTAGAAGATGAAGGTTAGGGTTACGGCTCATGTCTAGTGGGTATTGAAGGAGGAGGAAGAGGATGAGGTTATTGTGATTTTGAGACATGTGTGTTGTTTGTCGAAATGGTTGTGAGGTGGATGAATTGGCTTGCATGTTGAAATAAAGTTACTTGCGCTACAAATATATCGGTGCCTATAGAGTGTTTCATGATATGCCAAAGAGAGATATGGTTTCTTGAAATGTGATAATAAAGGGTCGTGTACAAAGAAAATTTTATAGAAATATTATAACTGAAAAAAGCAGTAAGTTCTAACTGAAATGTAAGTAATCATTAATGTGTTGATAAAACTGAGATTTGTGTGATGTAAGTTTGGTGATTTCAGGTTTCTGTTGGCCTCTTTGTTTTGATGATGTTTAATAAATAATTTACCACTAATGTTGTTTGTCTAGTGCTTGTGTATTTCTATTTATTATAGACAAACAACGAATTGGAGGATGGATGGAATCGAGCCTTCACGATCATATCTAATGGAGGTTGGCGGAATCGTGAAGTGAAGTCTTGCATTTCAAGTTGAAGATCAAAATTCAAGCTTCATCCGAGAGTTTACCAAGAAGAGCTTATTGAAGATCAAGATCATCGCTTGGTATATTAGTTTAGGTTTTATATTATGTGTGTTAAATACTTCAAGCTTAATTATATACACACATACACGTTTTAGTTTTTGTATATATATAGTTACATATATACATATATGTTTTGGTTTAATAGTTTTCAAGTTTTAATATAAAACAATTGAATACAATTGAAAATATATTTCTTGTTTTATACTTATATGCATATATATGATTTCATCAATATCAATTTTATTTAGTTCAATGAAATCATATTTATTGTTTTTGAAAAGTTAGCAAAATATGCAATTTTGTGAAAATATTATTGTTTGTGGAAAATTTGTAGTAAAAAGACAGTGAAAGAAAATTGATTTGTATTCTCTCAAAATCGATTAGGAAAATTTGTAGTAAAAAGACAGTGAAAGAAAATTGATTTGTATTCTCTCAAAATCGATTACAATTTGATTTCCTGATTACAAAAGAGAGGAGAATGAGAAAATTGATTTGTATTCTCTCAAAATCGATTACAATTTGATTTCCTGATTACAAAAGAGAGGAGAATGAATTTGACTCTCCCATTTGTTTAAAACCGGGTTCTTCACGGTGGCGATGGAGTGCCTCCCTCGAATGCTCGCCTCGAGTTTGCTCTCCGTTGACGACCCGAACGTCTTGATTCACTGGAACATGGTTTTCTCCTCACGATTTGACGTTGCGGAGGACTTGCAAAGCAAGTTCGAAACTCTGGACGAGTTGATAACTCAGATCGAGTTTAGAAACTCAGAACGAGTTTAAACTCTGTAACAGAGTTGATTTGAACCGAAAATCGGTTAATAAGCTAGGGATGAAAGCTCCAAGGAATGCTCCAGAGATTAAGCGAAGACCCCCCTTTTCTGATCTCCAGATCCGAGAAATCCCCAAGATCCGAAGATGATCTGCTCAAGAGGTTGCCGATCTCTCCTTTTGCGACCTGTTTTTGATGCAAAAAGTCGATCCCTTAACTCAATTGAGTTTCTGGTATCTATAGGGGATTAAGGGTGGTAACTACCCCCATAATCTGCTCCTAAGTGGGGCGGAAATCCCTCAAATCATGGGGGGAAAACGGTTCTTGGAACTGTTCGGTTCGTGTTTGAACGAGTCAAATGCCGAAAATGGCGTTCTGGGCCTGAACTCTGCGTTTTAGACTAAAAACGCAGAGTTGGGCCTATGTTGGGTGGCTGAACGCACATGCCGTGATGCGTTGTAAATCTGAAACACAGAGTTGGGACACAGAGATGAACTCTGCGTTTTAGACTTGAGACGCGGAATTGGAACACAGAGATGAACTCTGCGTTTTGGACCTGAGACGCAGAGTTAGAACACAGAGATGAACTCTGCGTTTTGGACCTGAGACGCAGAGTTGGGTTCTGCATGGACTCTGCGCTTTAAGTCCACGAACTCTGCGTTTTGACTCTGGAACGTAGCCACGGCCTCTGCGTTTCGAGTTTGGAACGCAGCCACGACCTCTGCGTTTTGAGTTTGGAACGCAGCCACGACCTCTACGTTTTGAATCTGGAACGCAGCCACGACCTCTGCGTTTTGAATCTCAAATGCGGTCATGACCTCTGTGTTTTGAGTTTAGAACGCGGGCATGACCTCTGCGTTTCGAATCTTGGATGCAGAGGTGAGTCTCAGGCGGGTTCGGCGAGCTTCAGGCTAAGTCCAATGTTCAGACGAAGTCCAGTCTTACAGACGGACTTCAGAACATAACTTGCTGCGAAGAACATGTCATAACTTTCAAACCGTAAGTTGGAATTGGACGAATTATATATGAAAATCGGCTATCTCGACGAGACGGAGCCGACCAAACCAACCCTCTGAGGTTTGGTTTGCTCTGTCAGTTTTGCCAAATTCCTTACGGTTTGAGAGATATCTGAGTTTTAATATGAAGAGGCCGTCAATTTGTAGTATCTTTTGCTAGAGTGTTGCAAAGATCATCACCTCGTAACCTTCGTCTTAGCTCCTTAAAAATATGAGAGTCGTCAGATTGCAACTCCCAATGTTGATTGTGAAGGCTGCTGAATTAGAGCTTTCATTAGTTGTTGTGAAGGTCGTCAGATTATAACCTTCTACGTGAAAGTCTTCAAATTGTAGCCTTCTGGAAGTTGTCAAATTATAACTTCCATCATCAGTGTTTGATAGGGATAAGCTATCTGTTATGATTTTTAAACAGCCTACAGAACCCCCTCCAAAGTTTTTGAAAGTTCACGGTTGACTGAGACGAATTTTCGGAATACTTTGGATCTCAACTCTGATCTTGGAGCTATTGATTCTTTGTCATAAGGAGTTGTTCTTTGCACCTGTTTCGAAGGCACCTTGGTTGAAAGGATTTGACATGCAGGACCTGTGTGAGGATGAGCTTCGAAGAGAAACTATAGCAACGATACAAGCCACTCATGAGCAGAAGCTCTCAAACACCATGTCACGGCTCACATCCATTCAGCTAATGGGCTCGAAAATAGTCATAGGATTTTTGGCAAATCCTCAGCCATCAACGGATTTGATGAGCCTTTACCGACTACAGTTTGAGTCGGGCTAGCATGTGAATTATTTGAATCCGTTTCACATGTAACGTTATGCTAAGAGAATGAACTCTCTTAGACTTGATGCTATGATTTTGAATACATAGACTTTGTCACTGTTTCTTCCTGTGTTATATTTTTTACTTGTAACACTGAAAGAAAATTGAAAGTGCCAGAGGTGTAGTATTAACTTGGCGTGAAACTTGGCGTGAATTTTCACTTAGAGTGAAATTCAGAAATTTTCTTCACTATCACTAGGATAATTCCAGAAAATCTTTAATCCATTGGGGATTTTATAATGAAAACTTGCTATTCTTGTTGAAAAAGAATTAACAAGTTCATTGGGGGGTTTGACTGTTAGAGGTGTGATGTTAACCTAACAGTATTTTATGGACCTATCGCTCTATTGAAGAGAGTTGATAAGCTGATTCGGTCGTCAGAGGTGTGGTGTTAACTTGACGGGTTTGTGGACCTATCGCTCTTTTGAAGAGAGTCGATAAGTGGATTTTGTCAGAGGTGTGATATTAACGTGACAAGAAGAAATTGCGATCGGGGCAATTTTGAGGACCTATCGCTCTATTGACGAGAATCGATAAGTTGATTTTGTCATAAGTGTAGTGTTAACGTGATAAGATTTGTGTTGCGATTGGAGCAACTTTGTGGACTTATCATCCTATTGTAGAAGATTGATAAGTTGATTGGTTATCAGAGGTGTGATATTAACGTGATAGGAATTTGTACTTGTGACTTGCACAAGATTTTAGGAATTAGAGTCTTGCTGGGGAAGATTGTGATTTGAGCAATTTTGAGGACCTATCATCCTATTGAAGAGGATTGATAAGTTGATTGTCAGAGGTGTATTGTTAACGTGACAAATTAGGAGTGATGCAAACTGAATTCATATTCCGTGGGGGTGATGATCGTCAGAAGTATAATGTTAACTCTACGATGTGAAAGATTCGTTACTCTTAATCCAGTGGATTCCAAGCAACCAACCCCCAGTCTTGATTAAGACTTAGCAGGGGAATAAAAAGATGTAGACAAGGCACATCGCCCAGTGAGGCACTATCCATGAAGTCAGAATAGAAGCACATCACCTGGTAGGCCATTAT